CATTCTGATCTCTGTTTTCACTCAGCCGATCAAATTCAGTGATGGCCAGCTGGTCCTCTCTTGCTCCTTTCAGCCCCCTCTGTTTCTTATCAGGCAGTATTACAGACGCCTATCTTTCTAATGGGGCCTTTTGAAAAGCCCCCCGGCTGCCTTTTAGGATTTGGGGCATGATCCAAGTCATTGATTTTTTTCTCTTCTCTCTTTTGAGAGCCTGTTATTGCATCTTTAGCTGGTGTGTGTCTGCACAGAGACTGTCAATAGTGTCCTGGTGCGATCAAAACATCTAGGTCGATAGGCGGGTTAATAAGCAGCTTTTTGAACAGTACATTTCACCTAGCGGTTCGACAGGTGAGCAGCACTGGAACCAAAATATGGCTGGAGGAAACGGCTTCCTCCTCTCACGCCTTCCCTCTCTCCACCCTCCTGTCCCGCCCTCCAATCCTCTATCCTCTTTTCTCTGGCACAAAGCTGCTCAGTTGTTCATGAATGTCAGCTCAGTGCTGCCAGCACGCTCTATCTTTCCCTCCCTGTCCCTCTCACCCTCCCTCAGTCTCTCAGCCTCTCTCTTCTTCCTCCCTCACTTCTTATCTCCCTCCCTTAGTTCGCTTAGTGTGCAAAGGAAGAACGACTGCAAATGAGTTCCTTGAACCACAGGGACCCCAATAAATAAAACTGTCAGCCAGAGATGTCGAAAGAAAAAAAAAAAAGAAGGAAGGAGCCAGAGGCACACTCTCACTGAATATTTCATCACCCACCACCACCACCACCACCACTCTGACACCCTACCCCCATCGCCCGCATCCCCCATCCTCCCTCCCCCCTCACCATCCCTTGCTCTCTCCCTCTCTCATGCCATCCTCCCCCCCTTTTCCTCCATCTTTTCTCCAACCCCTCCTCCCCCTGCCGCCCCTTATCAAATTCTCCCCCATCACTGCATAGCAACCAAAGCCTCCTGCTCAACAAAATACCACCTCCTGGACACCGACAACTAAAACAAAATGGTCGGTTGGCACTGGCTGTGGGGTCAGTTGCTAAAGAGGAGTGGCGAATGCAATTAAGTGCAAGAGCTCTTTACCAACACCTGTGTGTCTCTGAATAGACTCTGCTATGACATTGTGCCCATGCGGTTTCTGTTGAGTGTAATCACCTACGTATGTTGTTTTCAGCAAACACACACCTTGTTCCTCAGGCATGAGCTCCTCCTCTCTTTGCATACCACTGCTACTGCATCAGAAAGAGAACAATGAAGGGCTGGTTTCTCTCTGTCTGCCTTAACACAACAAAAGTGGGGCCCTCCACTCTCCTTGTCTTGCGTCTCTCATAACAAACCACCACAGACAGCCATAAGTTGCTTTTGTAAAGGATCGGAATTTGTCAAGTGCGCTCCGAGGAGCAAGGTGGAAAAACTGGAGGAAGAGGAGGAGGGTTGCAGACTTAAAGACAAGCCTAGAAGCTCTCTTTTGTTTGCCTGTGATGTTCCAGAAAGCTCTATCTGGTGTTTGTCCTGACGTCAGTGGTAGCCAGCCACATTGGCTGTCTTGGCTGTGCTCCTGAGAGCAGACAGGCATGTTTGGACTGGAGCTGAGCTGCTAGCTGAGACCTCTGGGAATCATTCGCTAGCCAGCTCTCCAGCACTAGAGAACCCCTTCCCCCCTACACACACGCACACATACACGTACTCTCTAACACACTCCCTCCCCTTGTTTCTCTCACAGTCTCTGTCCGTCTGGAAGAGGCTTGTTGTTACACGATCACTCTCGCCAATCTAGCCTCTGGCAGGCAGGCAGGCAGGCAGGCCGCACGGTATCACCCTCCGCCTCCTCCTCTCCCTCAGGAAACGGGCCCTATTTCAGGTGTTCCACTCCACAGCTCCCGGCTCCCAGCTACACAAGCTGTTCACTCTCCTTTTCTGGGTGTTCAGGAGTGTCAGGAAAATAGCATGTCAGTTGAAAATGATGCAGCTCTTCATTTGGAGGAGCTGAATTCCACACCTGAAGGTTTACTTTGGCTCCTTTTGTTTATCTACTGAGGGCAAGGAAAGTGACCTATCAGATTATAGTAGTTGAGATGTTCCCTGTCATTTTCCCTGCAAATTAGATGTCTGTGTTTATGTGGGTTTGTGGCCTTTTAATTTCTTGCCTAAAGATGAAGTTGTGGTGGGTGGTGTGTGTATGTACGGAGACCCCATATGAGTCACTCGCATAGTTAGAGAGGAGATCTCCACGCATTTTTAGCTCTCATGTATGTGAGACTAAGCGGGGCCTGTGTGAGCAACCTCCAAATTGACTTTGTGAGTCAACGACTGAGACTTCGAGACCAGGAGTGACAAAAATCGACTGGAGGAGGGAAAAGAAGAAGAAGAAAAAAAAAAAAAAGAAGCGTGAGGGAGAGAGCTTGCCTCTCGTGCAGGCTAATTTGATGCCTGCCATGTGGTGTTGGAAGCTCAGTAGGAGTACATGAATTTCATCTTGGTGGTTTTGAATAATCCACACTAGTCATTATAAGGGTAATCAAGCCTCCTCTCTGTTTCTCCTGCTGTCACTCACTGTCGTCCTTTTTTCTCTCACTTTCTCTCTCATTTGCCTGCACACACACATACACACAGAAAAACAGAGTGGCCCTGTAAATCCTTGACATTAAATTGCATCATGGATGATCCCTTCATAGGAAGTGGATATAAAACAGAGCCTTGACTGCTCTCAAAATGCACAATTGAACATATGTAGCCCGGTGTGCACAGCATTTAGAGACTGCACATAAGTAACAGTTGATTTGCACTTCTCAAACGACTATGACAATCTGGTCACAAGTAGTCACCCGAGACAGACTCTGATGCCAGGTGTGAACTGTAACCTGTCTCAGCTTGATGCTCACACAGTCTGGATATATCTGGATGAAGGCGAGGAGGTCTGAACTGTACCATAGACAAACAGACACTCACTTCCTGAGGCTGTTTCCCCCACAATCCTCTTCCCTCCCTCTGACTAAACACTGGGTTGATGGTCTCCCTCGGGGCCTCTCACTTTTGTGTGCGCGTCCGTTTGTGTGTGTGTGTGTGTGTGTGTGTGGTGTTGGTTGGCAAACTGTCGACTCATTCTCTTGACAGCTGTCAGTCACAGGCACAGTCAGCGTCTCCTCCCCCTCCTTTTCTCCTTTCTCTCTCTCACTCCCCCCACCCTCTTTGGGATTCTGCCTCCCCCCAAGGCCTCAAACTGACACACACACACTCACACACACTCACACACACACACACACACATCTTGTCTATCAGGTGACCTTTTGTATGCGGAGTTTCCTAGAGCACTCTCACGTAACACCCTGCCCCTGTTCCCCTCCTCGTTTCACACCCTGCCTTGGGCCTGCTGAGTTTATTGTCTTACCACGATGGGGTAATCATGGCGGGTGTGGACTGTATCAACAAGCCATTAGTGACAGAGTTTACACTATGAAAAGGCTAAGTTTCTGTTTATCCTGCAGCTGCCTGTATGCTGATTTTTTTGCTGTCTTAGCTGTTGATTATTTACATGTTGAAATGCAGCCATCAGATCATCCCAACCCCCTCGTCCTTTCACCTGCCTCTCTTCTCCCTCCATCCTCTTTTCCACACCATGTCAATATCAATGTGCAAAGGTCACCCTGGCAACAGAGAGTCAGCGGTCGATAGAGAAATAAATAAGCAGAAGAAAAGGGAGAGAAGTGATGGAGGGCAGAGCCTGGTGATTCACAGGGTTAACTACAGGCCACCATCTCAGAAGCACACTCCAAAGGCTGCAGGGTCTGCAGGGAGTGAGACCTCTGATCTCTTTTGCTGTCTTTGTATGTATGTCTCTATTACTTGTTTTCTCTGCTTTGTCATTAGTCTTTCTGTCCATCTCCCGTCCTCTTTGTGTTCTCTCTTCCCCTCAAGTAGCTTTTTGGTGCTCCTTCTGTCTTCCTGTTTCCCCCTCCCTCCCTCCTTCTGTGCTTCTCTTGGGACTGAAAGCACACATGCAGTAGAGGTTGCTGAAACCTTTTTGGACAGAGGCGTCACTTTGTATTTGCCAGTGCTGTTTGTTTCTGTTTGCTTCTATTTGGGGAGAACCTGAGACGTCATTACTGCTGAGTCCTCATGGCCCAAAGAAGCTTTCTGACCCTCGAATGACTCTTCCAAGAAGATACACACACACACACACACACACACACACACACACACACATGCACGCTCTTCAGCAGTGAGTGGCAATACACAGCAAGAGAGACGCAGGCTCGCAGGAGGGGGACAAGAGAACTTTTGTTGTTTAGTGTGAATCCCCCAGCCAAGTCGTGACAACTCCGCTATCCTGTGTGTATTTGTGTGTCCATCCGGGCCATGGGTGGGTCAGTGGAGGCCTCCACACTTGGCTTCTGTCAGCCATTGCCAGAGCTCCAAAAATGGGCAGCCCTTCCAGATCCGCCGCGGACCCACGGACAATCGGCCATTCTGTGTTTGAGAGGCAGGCGGGGTGTATTTCCTGGACGTGGGACTGATTTTTCAGGCCCCGGGCCAGACAGAAGGGTGGCCTTTGTCTCTGTGCTAAATGACACTGCTGACTAAGAATGGACTGAGGGGCAGTGGGAAGCCAGCAAGAGTGGGTTCTATTTGTGTGTGTGTGTTTTCCAATAGGTCTCCACATCCACCGCTCCCCAACAGAAGTAAATAGGCCAGTGTTACAGAATGGTGATTGATTGCATGATGGGCTAATGTGGCGTGTCCGTGTCTCTATGAGAGGGGAGCTCAAAGCACTGTTGTGTGTATTTTCACTGCTGTCCATGGTGCAGACTGTCCATTTACAAAGCAGGAAGTCAATATTCATGGGGCAGTCTCTCTTTTTGAAAGGGTTTGATGCAGACTAAGTTTGGAAGTGCCATTGCACCAATAAATGTGTGACATTGTCATTTGGCGAAGCTGTGCTGGAGACTTTTTCTGTAAAATCATAATGAAATTAATCAACTCAACGTTGTTTTCTTTTTTCTGCCTGCAGGTCAGTGACTTCCTGTCCGGCCGCTCCCCCCTCACCCTGGCACTGCGCGTAGGTGATCACATGATGTTCGTCCAGCTCCAGTTGGCGGCGCAGCAGTCCGGGGGTCCCCAGCTCCAGCACAGACACCTCATCACCCGGGGCAACGCGGAGACCGCAATGGGACAGCCCACAGGGCAGCCCCGTGTTCCCCACCCTCACCCAAACTCCCAACATCACCCCCATCATCCACACATTCACCCCAGCCCCCACTTGACCCAGCCTCATACGGTCCCTTCCTCCCCCTCCTCCCCGGGCTCCCCTTCCTTCCCCCTGCCCTCCACGCACCACCAGCCGCTCCCTCCCATGTACCACCAGTCGCCCTCCTCTGCTCATTGTAGCCCTCCTACTCCTCCTCCTCCACCACACTCCCCTCGCCCGTCCCACATCCCTGGAGGTCTTTTCCGCTCTCCATCTCATCACCATCATCATCATCACCACTACCACCAGCCTTCCTCAGGCCAACCCAGCCACGACATCGGCCAGGCCAGCCCTGTAGCCCCAGTCCTCTGCCCTGAGGTAAGCCTCAAAAATATTATTAGTACTTCACATTATTTATGTTTGTTTTTTTGCTGTCATCAGTCCTAGATAACTTTTACAGAAATAACTAATGTCATCATAGCCCTCTCATGAATAAAAAATGGAGGGAATGGGTTGTGACTGTTTGACACGAGTGACATGCTCACAGCTAAATCATCCTCCATTAAATTGATTAGATTAGTGGGATACCCCAGCAGCATGAGGGTAGAAGGTGAACTCGTGGTTTAGTCAGGTCTGGAGAAGATTTGCATGTGATGTGTGTGTTTCCAAAGTGCACATTGCAATTAGTCATCATCGCAGTGCAGTCTGCTTCCCAAATACATACAAACAGGCCAACACACACAATTAGCCAGGAGGACACGACATTCGTATGACCTCATCCTGCCCAGTGAGATGTATGGGGTTAAGGGGAAGATAAAGAGCATGAGAAAAAGAGAGGCAGATTTAATGAATCAGAGTTGGTTTTTCATGTGAAGACTGATCATTAACCTCGCTGTTTTCAGTCATTTATCATTAACCTTCACAGCCATTTATTTAACTTTGGTTAACTCTAAGAACAGCTGCGCACACATTCACAAACACACTTACTCGTCTCCACCAACCAAATTGGCTGTTTATACTTTGTCTACCTCCCTGAGCTCCGGCCTATGGAAAGAGAATAAGAACCAGATGTCAGCGGACTATGTGGGAGGGATGGTTCACAACAAGAAAAACAGAAAGACAGGCCAGTTTAGCAGTGAGAAAACGGAAATGGCTATTCCTCATCAGGCTTTCACATGGGTGATACACACAAACACAGACTAACACACAGAGATCTTACCATGGGTTTCACTTTCAGACGTCAGTTGAGTGATCCAAGTTAAGCTAAGGTGAAGTAGCAGGGCTGCCATGTTTGGTCCGACCTCAGGTTTGAGGTAACAAGATATCCTGGGTGTTTTGGGTCATCAATTGGCAGATTGCTCAGGTTTCCTTCTTCCTGTGGTTTCTTATAGCATCAGCCTTTACTGTATAGGTTACTTACATAGTGCAAATAGTAGTTACAACTCCGTCAAGTAAAGGTCACTTACAGAACTCATGGAGATATCCTCATTACAGAGCTTACATGACTTCAACACGTCACAGCTCACAACATGCTACAGTATGTATGAATGTCATGTGATGTACATGTTAACACAGTATGGGATGTGAATGTTCTTCCGCACACTGATTGACCACAGATGTTGCATTCTCCTAAAACAGCCTTTCATGCTTTCAAGCCTAACTGTGCATGTGTCAAATTTTCCCTCCAGGCTAACTGCAGCACCAACAGCCCTAACAGCGGCACCAGTCCCTCGCCACGCTCCCGTAAACCTGGCGCCATCATTGAGAGCTTTGTCAACCATGCTCCCGGAGTCTTCTCAGGGACCTTTTCAGGTGAGGGGACACTGAGCTGCCATAAAGATTTATTGCTGCTCTAAGCAATAACCATTCACACATTGAGATCCACCTGAAATCCTCTTTTATTAAAAATTGTAAAGGAAAGAGGAAGAAAAAAAATACCCAGAAAATAAAATATGCCCACAATCAGCTGTTGTGGGCACATGAGTCTACAAATGACTTTAGATAATTCGGACTTTTTCTGCTGTTTGTTAAAAACTAAATAGACACCTATAGTAAGACCTTTTCATCTTTCTTGCTCCCCCTCTCAGGCACTTTGCACCCTAACTGCCAGGACAGCAATGGGCGTCCCAGGCGAGACATTGGTACCATCCTGCAGATCCTCAATGACCTCCTGAGTGCCACACGCCACTACCAGGGCATGCCCCCCTCCCTCACCCAGCTTCGCTACCAGACCCAGTGTGGTTCGTCCACTTCCCCATCTCCCTCCCCGCCTCCTTCGCCCCCAGTCGCTGGCGTGACGGGCCTCTCTGCCAAAGCTACCTCTGTGCCTGCCGGCAGCCCTAGCAGCCCTCCGCCGACTCTTCATCCGCTGGTGCAGTGCCAGAGCCAGATCCGCATGTGCAAACCCCCTGGTGAGTGACTCTGCTACACACTCCCTCAGCTCATGCAGGCATGTCATGAACACAAACACACTCACATACACACATTAAGACATTGTGCATCCCTCGAGGCCCTTGTGAAGCAGATGTTGCAGCAGTTTCCACAGCTTTGGAGGAGTGTGTGTTCCTATGTGTGTGTGTGTGTGTGTGTGTGTGTGTGTGTGTGTGTGTGTGAAATGAATGCAGTCTAGAGCCTGTCATTTATCTGCGCTCTCCTCTTCCATTGCAACCTGCTAAAGAATTCATTGTCATCTTTGTCTTTCTGTTTCTATTCTCATAGCACATCATGGTTAGCTATCAGTTCTGTTGGGATGATTTGGCATCATTGTCTTACTGAAACACTTATTTTCATCTTTAAAATTCTGACAAAGCAAGAATAGAAAAGTCAGATTAAAGAACAAAAACAGTCAAATATCTCTCTTGGGTTTTGAGGCAGAGGAGAAGAGGAAAAGACTGGAGGAGGAGGGGGGGGGGGTCTCCTTAGTAATGCAATACAAGCTTCTTCAGACCTGTTCAGTCAGGCTTCACTTGTCAGGCAGCAGAGTTGGCTTTGTTTTTGTGCACCAAGGATATAGGTTTACCCCTTCAAGCCTGGGCTGGGCTATGTTTAGATTAGATTAGGCTTTGGGTGGTTTAACCAACCTCTTAAAGAATGGCTGCAGCTGGGGCATGTATGGGCTGGGGCTGGTTGGGGCTGGACAAACCTCGACATACCAGTGCCCAAGGGCTGGGTCAGGGCAGGTGCTGGAGTTCAGATGATACCATTTAGGGACTGGGTGTGGGTGTTTTAAAACCTCCTTTTCCTTGCAGAGACACAGGATGTTGAGTGTCAGACGGATGTCCAGAACTGATAACATTCAGTCAATGTTGTAAGGTTAGACTGGCTGTGCTGAGAGAAACAGCATTGTCCTCTACTGTCTCCTTATCTCCTGCTGAGGAAATCGAGCCAGTCTTTGGTCAGCTGCTAGTCAGTTTTGTTGAATAGTCTGGCGGGGAGGGTCCTGGAGTACATTGATTAATGTTTAATGTTTTCTTTTGTTTGAAAAAGCAAGAGCGTACATTTCTATTGTCATACTCTGGCTTTATGACCCTCTGTTTTGCGAGCTGAATGGCGACTTTTAGCTGTCGCAACTGAACACAGATTGACCAGGATTGTCCAGTATTCCTCTGCATCACCCTGGGTGCCCCTACAAGTGCTCAATGAACAGTTGGAATAACACAGGCATATTTTCCTAACTCAGGGAACACCTTTCCTTCACTGCCCCCACCAACACCCTCCCCCCCTGCTCTTCCCCTCTTCCCCCACACTTGTAATCTCTCTTCTTCTGTACTCAACAGCCCACACTGCTGTTTCCCCCATTTGCTGTCCAAAAACAGCCTTGTCTGTAAAATCCATCTCACTCCTTTCTGCCCCCCCTCTCCCCCCCTTCCATGTCTGTGTTGTGCATCAATACGTTGTCTGTGTTCATTTGGCCTTTAAATAGATAGGTTTATTCCGAAATGCAGCTCTGAAAGGAATGTGCTTTGTGAACTAGTAAGAGGGAGGAGGAGGACGCGGAAGAGGGAGGCTGTTAAAACCACAATACTAAGCCTCCATTCATCATATGGGTGTTTATATCCTGTCCATCAGTCTACTAACTGCCCACTCACTGATTGACCGAGGGCGAAGTAAAAAAAAAAAAATGGGTGAAAGAATAGCCTGTCTAATGCCCTTTTCCGACTTTACTGCCCCCGTCCAAACTTCCTGCTGACAATATACACTTACAGAAAGTGATGTGAATGGGTAACCTACCCAACCAAGCACAGGCAGCACACTGAGACAGTGAATGTGCTGGTGTGTTTTTGTGGACAGAGGCTGCGTGCCTATTTGTATCCTGTTCCACATGGTGTCCTAAAGAAGCCGATGACTAAGCGCTCTCAGGCAGTCTTATCAGCCGACACCTGATGGAAGACTTACTGGACTTAACACCGCGGCTTAACTCTGCTTCACAGAAACCTGCCTTCATTCAGCTACAGGAATAACCTGAGCTTCCCATCTGCCTGAATGTGTGTGTGCAGTCAAACACAGGTTGAGACAGCCTCTTGAAAATGTCACATAGCTTGGCTGTCTCCTGAGAGCCTTTACCCTTTCCACTGCAAGTTCATGTGCGAGGGGGAGAAGACAAGCGTAAATAAAAAGCTTGAATATACACACATGTGCGCGCACACACACACACACACACACACACACACACGCATATACACACACACACACACTCAGCCATAAATGCCTGGTTAAAGGCTTGGGTGACTAGCTTGGTTTCATGGCTTTGCTGTATAGTATTGCTGAGTGTGGGGATTTGTCAGCCCAGGACCCGTGTTGGATTTGAACAGGAAGGCTTTGGGATGGCCTGGCAGGCTGATTGTTAGCAAAATTCCTTTACTGAGTAGGGTGGACCTCCCCAACACCCCCCTCCAGCCCTCTAGCCCCCTGCCCAGCCGAACCCATTGTGCAGGGGCCAGGGACAGGGGCTACATACAGGGCACCAGGCTGAGCCATTGTGGGGTAGATGAGGGGAGGGCTATGGGATTATAGGGCTGCCTTTTAGTCCCACTCCCACTGCAGCTGCCTTAGTTCAACACAGGCACACACAGAGGGGCAAAACAGGGGCAAAGTTAGCTCTGAAAGCTTCTCCAGCACCCCCTTCCTCTCTTGTGTCCCTTCCGCATCCCTTCACCCCCTCCTGTCCCCTTTCGATTTGTCAGGTCATGTTAGCTTCGTGCTGGCTGGGACTGGGCAAGCCAAAGGAGGAGGGATGGTGAGGGAGACAGGGAGAGAGACGCAGAGAAAGATCCTACACACTTAACCTTACCAAGCCCTGTATTTAAGCCCTGACCTGCTTGGCTGAGGCACCGCACATTATCCACTGGTAGGCCTTACTCTTCTCCCGTCACACACAGAGGTTTGGTGTGACGCACGTACTCCGGTAACTCAACAAATGCCCCAGCGATACAGCACAGCGCAGCGCTATCTAGCAAAGCCAGTCAAGCACATCAGGTGCCCTTTCATTGTCGACAAGGAGAGCAAGAGAGAGAGAGAGAGCGAGAATGCAAATGAAGTCTAAAAGTCATTGAAGAGCTTGTGTCCCTGCAGGGCTGTCAATGCCCTTTCACTGGCTGTCAAATGCTCATATTAGCTCTGGTTTGATTGGCTGCTTCAGTTTGTGTCTGATAAGTTGGTTTATTTTTTTTTTTAGAGGTGGAGCAAAGAGCAACATAGGTCAGGTTTCCCAGTTTTGTAGCCAAACTGTTCTCGGACACAGAGTTAGATCCATCCGTTGTAGCCTCCAACCAGCCAATTAAAGAAATAATTGTGACACGCTTCATGTTCAGTGGTCGCTTGGTGTCTAATTTGTAAAATATCATAATACTATAGGGAAATTTTGAACCTGTTCACATGTTGACAGTTGGAATAGAATAAAGTGGTGCTAGACAAATAATTCAGTGTTATCGTGCCTAATCCTCCCATATAATAATATTTTGAAAACTATACCAAGACATATTGATTTGGTTTACTAAAATAGTCCAAGCTCCTGACTCACTGTTATAGCCACAATTTTGAATACTACAGTGATTATTGTTACATATTCATTCAGAAATACAGTAATATTGGAGGAAACTGAGGCTGACTTTGCTGCAATGTGATTTTCTTTCTTCCTCTTCTTTCTCTCTCTCTCTCTCTCTCTCTCTCTCTCTCTCTCTCCACCCCTCCCTCTTTCCCCTGGTTCCCTGGATGCTGAGCAAACACAATGTTCTCTCTGCAAGATCACAAGACTTATCAAGGCAAACAAACAAACAACAGCACTAAGACAACTGCAAATGAAGGCCAATCTTTATACAATCAATAAAAGGAGAAGCTCCTTTAATCTCCCCCTGCGTCCTGCACACTGCAGCCCTCCTCCCTTTTTCTCTACCTCCATCCTCTGCCTCTCCTCCTCCACCCACTCCTCCCACCCTTCCTCCCCGTGCACTCCCTATCTCAGTCCTTGCTGTGTTGCTGGGCTGGGCTCAGAGGCAAGGAAAACTGACTGACGCATCGATTATTCATAGATCACCCCTTCTTTCTCTCTCTCTCTCTATCTCTCGCTCTGTCTGTTTTTCTCTGGCTTTCTCTGCAGTGCTCTGTGTATTTACAGGGCCTGTGTCAAAGTCTTCAGAGAGGAGAGTTTGGAGATGGAAAAATGCGCTGCTCTGGATTGAGTGCTGGTGTGACTGGCAGGCCGGGGGGGTGGTTAGAGGAGAGAGAAGGAAACGGAGACTGGCGTTTCCTTCCTCCTTGTGCCCTTGACCTGTCTTCTGTTTGATATCTTCCACTGTGCGTTTCTAAGGAAAGACCCATTGTTGCTAAATCATTTCTTTACTGTGTAAATTAGGTTTGCATCTGAGCATCGTTTCTCTCTCGCTCTCATTCATTTCCTATGTCTCTTACCCACCTCTCTCTGGGTCCTCCAAGGTTATTGTGCTCACGTCAAACCCTAGTCTCTGCAGCCAGGCTCTGGGCCAGCCCTTGTGTATCTGAGTATGTGTGTGTGTGTGTGTGTGCTGTGTGTATATTCAGTCCTTCTAAGCCAGCCCTAATAATAGCCCTACTGTCATAAACATAGTCTGGAGATCCCTGTGGCCAGCTGTGTCCGGCCCAGTCGCCCAGGGCTCCGGTAGTGACGCTGATGAATGGCCACACACACACACAGGCACACACACATACACACCAATTTTGGTGTAGCTCCAAGCACATTCCCAGAGCTCTTGCCAAGCCAAAGGCCAAGACCTCCTACAGCACCACCAAACTGCCCTTTATGCTGTGTGTGTCTGTGTGTGTGTGTGTGTGTGTGTGGGTGTGTGCGTGCATGTGTGTATGTATGTGTGTGTGCATTTGTTCTCATATAATGCCAAGTTGTCTTTGCACTGGTTGGAAAACAGGATCATGACTGAGAGACTACACTGATGAAATAAAGAAAGAATTTAAACTGAGAGACTCTAAGGACATATTGCACCAGACCAAACAGATCTTGTATGTAGGCATGTGTTGGCTTTGTGCCATTTCATTGTGTACAGCCATATTTCGACACAGCCGATGGGCGGTTTCGCTTTTGGCTAGTCAGAACAGGGGAATAAGGGGAAGAGGGAGGACTGGAGGGGGAACAAAGCCTTACGGCAGCGTATATGGATGTCACATGGAGCTGAGGCAGTGGAACAATGGCTCTAATGTAGGAGAACCCCCCTCTGGTATACCCCCTTTTCTCTGGAGATGACATGCTGCCCTCACACACAGCACACACAGCATCTGGATGCACACTCATACATGTGTATCAGGACAGAGCATATTGGCAGGAAGTGGAAAAACCCCAGTCTGTCTTTGTGGCTGAGTGTAACATGAAGAAGTATTCTTTCCTGCTAACTCAGTGCCAGTGTTCACATCCTTTCTGTTCTGAAAAAGAAGCATCAAAGCTACTCGACGGCAGTTTAGTTCTTTAGTATGCACTGCCAAACAATGGTGAATATTTATAGCGGGAGAAAAGGCTCTGCGCTGCTCGATCCGATAAGCAAATGAGGGAAAGAGGTAAATTAGGCCCACACAGAGTCCGGAATTCATTCCGATGGGGGGAAGAGCAGAGGAGGGCACGATCGATTTGGAAAACTGCCACCTACGGCTGATCCTTTACCCTCTTCCATGTTCCTCCGTCCTTTTCTCTACCCCCCCCCCCCCCCCCCCCCCTCCCTGGGGGAGGAATTCCTTAACCCACACCACCACAACCCACCCCCTCCTATTCCCTCCTGCTTCCCCTTCTTCACACTGCCCCACCTAGCTGTCTCTAGGGAGACATGGGGCAAGAGCTAGAGGAGGGAGGAGGGTCCTCTGTGTCTGTGTGTGAGGGGTGGAAAGGGGTGGAGGTGGTGGTGGGGGGTGTTGGGTCAATGAGCTGAGAGTAGGAAGCTACAGCCATAATAAAGAAAAAAAATAGAAGGAAAAAACCCAATCTCTCCCTGTCTCTCTCTCTGCTTACAATTTCCATTCGCTTGCATTTTCTATTGAAAGCCAATAGCGTTGTCCTGGGCCCGAGATGGATGGCTGCACTAGAGCTAAGGTTTAATCAATAGGTCTTTTTAATTTGCCATCGATCCACGTTAAAAGCTACTGCGGTTGTTGCTGCTGTTGCTGTGTGTGTGTGTGCATGCACCTGTGAGCGCACACTTGTGTGCAGCTGTGTGTATGTGTGTGCATATACGTACGTGCATGCGTGAACATATTGTGTATGGGTTTTTGTGTGAATACATGATGTACTCGAATGTGGATTTCAGTGTGTGTGTGTGTGCGTGTGTGTGCGTTGTGCTGTGCAGCAGAGGCAGAGATGGCCACTGTGCTTCGGTTTATTGACATTCTAGCCCATTATTTAATTATTTAATTCCCAGACAGATACTAATGGAGCTGGCTAATAGATTGCGGTTGCTTTCCCTTCCTTCCAAGCTCCTGAATATACGTATAAATGGAATTAGGCTTGACTCGGTCACTGTAGGAAAGCATTCACAGTGCGATGCAAAGCCTCTCCCTCGAGACAGGATTCTCCTATAGGCACATCAACAGCTAGAAATGCACTTAGTAGCATACGCAGTCACCGAGGCATGTCATCTGCAATTATATGTGCAGATACCACAGGCAGCTGACACACAGTGTCGTCTGTGTGTTTTTGGCCTTGCTATTGGTTCTCAAGGAGATTCAGGTTGAAGAAGGTCTCCCCACTCAGCGATAAGGGGATGAAATAGCACTGAGGGGGCTAATGATGCTCAGTGGGGGAGGTTAAGCACCAGATTGCAGAGTTACATTGTGTGCATGGTGTGTGTGTGTGTGTGTTAGTGTGTGTGTGTATGTGTATGTCAGAGCCAAGGGAATGATCCTAGCATGTCTTGGCTTTCTCATCAAGGCTGTGGGGCCTTATCTGCTAACTGCTAAACACAGACACACACACACACACACACATATTGACATCCTTCTCAAACCTGTTAGTGTAAATTCTGTTAACTGTAAGTAAACCAGTCCTCATGCAAACAGAAATGCCTCACTGACCAACTCTCCTCCCTCGTCCTTTGCCCAGGTGACCGTCTGCGTCAGACCGAGAACCGTGCAACCCGCTGTAAGGTGGAACGCCTGCAGCTGTTGATGCAGCAGAAGCGTCTGCGCAGGAAGGCTAGGAGGGACCAGCGCGCTCCTTACCAGTGGCTCCCCAACCGCAAGGCCGGACGCAGCAACAGCAACAGCAGCATGTCCAGCGAGGGCTCCCTGGACCTGGACTTTGACGATTCAGTGTGGAAACCTGATGTCAAGGCTGATTTGAAGTCTGAGTTCGTCATGGCTTGAACCGTCTGATCCCTCATGCCTGGGCATAGATTCAAAGATGTGCAAAGCATTGCTTGGGATTTACTTAAAGATACATTTTGAGGGAGTGGATATGCAGGAGGGGACACAGAACTGTTCAAAGATGTGTTGTGCAAAGAGGAAATCAGAGTTGTTTCTAGTGACTGGCGTCCGTCACATGAAAATAAAAAAAGGCTCCCTGCAGACTTTAATCCCATTCTGTCCTTCACAGTTGACCTTGTGAAAAACGGCAACAATAGCAACAGAACTTTCTTGTCATGCTTGGATTTGGACAGGCAACAACCGGACTTAACAGTGTACAAGACTTTTTTAAGGTGTGATCACAGAGACCATACCTGAACTTGAGCATAGCAGAATTCAGTGGGTGGTGGTGGTGGTGGTATTTTCAGATTTTTTTTTTTTCTAAGATTTGTTTTTTAAGCGCACTCTGGACAGCAATGAAGAGATCCACACTGGACTTATTAAGAGGACAGGAGCACCAGAGGCCTCAGTGTTTCCTAATCACAAGAAAGGCAGAACTGCCGAACTATGGATTATTCCAACGGGCATTCTTATCGATCTCAAAACTCACCAACCAGAGTCCAGTTTTTACCTGTTACGGGGTGGTTAAACTTTTTTCTGTTTTCCATTTTGAAACATATTATTATATTTTATAAACAAAAAATATGTAGCATTGTTCACAAAGCATTCAGGTTTTCATAAAACAGTTCAAAGTAGTTGATTTGCACATTTTCTTGATTTATAACAGCTGGTCAATGTGTGCAAGAAGAAGGAGGAGGTGGGGCCTGAAATAGAATAAAAAATGAATATGGAAGTATTGATATCAACCTCAGTGGCATAGGGTATCGATAGGAATGATTAATGAATAAACAAAATGAATTAATATTAACAGAAAGTGCTTTAGAGGATTTTAAAATCTTTAAAATGTATATGGAAAAAAATCTATTTTTATTTCTCTTCCTATCTGCTGTTTTCAAAAAACAGCAGCCCTCTGTGGCTTTAGTCAAGTCCTTGACTACCGACAGATACATCCATTCAATCATTCATTAGCTCATTCATGAATTATAGTCGTCTAGCCACAACAAATGATACGGAAAGACAATTTTCATCCAGCCCGCCTCACGTCTTACAGACCTGAATGGACTTGTTGAGGGTTTGTTTTAGTTTGTGTACATAAATGTGACAATTGGCAAAAGGTTTATGAGGGTGTGTGTATGTTTGACCTTAGTGTAAATTGATTTAGATTATCCCATGTTCTTTTCCGACTTGTCTTCTTCCAATTGACACCATAGTTTTCTCAAAATCATGATGATCAGCTGCAGCGGATGCATGGGTCATAACAGGATAAAACATCAAATTCTAAGTTGGTTCCCAGTTCTAGGCCCATGTGGTGTCTACTTTTACCACAATTCCTCATGATAATGACTATTTTTTTATTGGCAAAGAGGGAGAAGAGGTGGGATCTGTATATCCAGCATCATTATCTAGTGCCTCCACCAGTACATCCATTGACATATCAGGTTAGGCCTTTCACAGTTTTGCTGCTACACATGGGGACGTCAAATGAAAAAAAAAAAAAAAGTGGGAGGGAAAAGTGACTTTTCTTTGCATGCAGAAGTGTGAAATTACACTGATCTTTTTTCTATTGATGGAAGAAATAAAAAAGAAACTGGTGCTGTGAGAATGAAGGTTAACAACATGCATGAATTTGTGAAGAAAATAAACAATGCTGCTTTTGTTGGTTTGGTTTTTGTAACTTTTATTTTTCAATGTTAGAACAACAGTGTCCTGCTAAAGTATTATGACGCAAAACCAAAACAGATGAAGTTAAGTGTGGACTCACGTCTTGCTCAGCACTGAACATTCCTGTTGTGTGACAATGAAGATGATGATGAGCAAAGAGCAACTGACTCTCTCTACTCCCTGAACGCTGGTTTTTACCCCCCATGACTCTCAAGGACCCAGACAGCCTACAAACTGATAAGCCACCTCCCCTCCTCCCAGCCTGAATGCCAACTGAGGTTCGTGTGGACGCGTTTTCACAGGGAACCAACAGGCCGGCGGATTTACAGTACTGTCCGTCTAACCTGCTCAAGAGAAGCATCTGTCTGGCGTCTGTCTCTTTATCTGTCTGTCTGTCTGTCTGATCGATCGACCACCCTACCACAATTGCACTCCCAGAGATTGCAGTGAGAGATTACCTTTTTGGTGAACCTCATCTTTTTTTTAAGTGGCCTTACCTTTCACTAAAAAAATGAGACACTTGGGGACAATGGGGGCGGGAATGGTTTTTTTTTTTTTTTTTTTTTTTTTGGTTTTTAAACTTTCTGTGTGTATCGTTGTCGGACTTGTTGTCATCAAGGCGCCATTTTTGTCACTGAGGACACTGGGCATCTGTTGTTTAGTGCTTTTAGCTGGTGGAGTCTCTATTATGTCAAAGGCTTCTGTGCCTTAAAAATGTTGCCCTTGCAGTGTCAGTGTCAGATTTAAGCTTGTTTTCAATGGTTGATACACACGACTGTAGTATTCGCAGCCATGAGAGTTGTAGATTTTAGGGGTAAAGCTTGTTTGAGTGAATCAAATACTATTCAAAAAGTCGGTGTTGTTCCTCAAATACGGTCTTTGTCCCATTTCTTCATTGTGTTGCCATGCTTGTTGGTCTCCGTTGTTCGAACCTCACATCCCTCTTAACTCAGTCCTCCCACCAACAAGCTACAAAAAGCTACAAATCTGTGTAACTTATGCTAATCGAGGAAGTTTACACCACAGTACTTAGATGGCAAGAAACAGCCCTAATTCAGAATAAGAAAGGTCCTCTGAGGACTCCAGACTACATGCACTTCCTTTTTCCTTGGATACAACATTATCAAAGGACAGTTTATCCCTGCCCCTCCCAAATTTTATTTNAAATTTATTTTAATTTTTTTTTTTTTTTTTTTTTTGTATATGTATACTCTATACTCTGTGTGTGCCTCACTTCTGTGTGAAACTCAAAAAGATGAAACAAAACAAAAAAGATGACAAAAGCATTACAGAGAGGGTAAAAAACAGTATGTTGGTGGAATTCTGATCACGTCATTTAAGTTGCCTGTTCTTTCTTGTAGCCAACTATTGAAAATAACAGGATTCAAGAATACAATTTACAATGTTCTAGCTCTAGACCGGTGTAGCACATGTGTGACTGTATTAATTTATGAAACCAAAATGGTAACTGTGAATTATGTATTTCTTTGTGCATTTTTTTTAAAAGCGGGGGAGAAGGTTGTCGGGACATGGCAGCAGCTGATGTCCGAAAAAACTTTTTGTTTTTGGTGGAATATAATGGAAACAACAATATGTTTTCGAAAAAGAGAAAAAAAAGGAAAAAAAGGAGAAAAAAAAAAAAAAACGAAAAAATATATGAATATATTTTTTTTTCTTAAGCAATACATTTCAGTGTGACTTGTGATAGAACATTTTTCTTTTTTTAGGTAATAAATAAAAAACAAAATGAGTACATCAGGTTGTCTCCATGAGTATTCATTACTGGCCCATTCAATAGCATTGCGTGAAAGCTGTCTAATATTTCATGTGAGAATCTATTTCATGAGGTAACATGATACTAGAAGCATATGAAAAAGGGCCTTGGAATTGCATGGATAAAATATTATTTTACCCTATATCAAAAGCTAATGTAATTGATGATTGGACTGAACCATCTCAGCTGATAAATGGTGGAGGTGGACAAGCCCATCAACCATGGGATCAGGGACACAAGGAGTCAGGGGGCCCCTAAGAGCTCAGTGTAAATATGGATGTCCTCATCATAAATTTTTACTGTTATTCCTGAAAAAATTCTGTTAATAATCAGTATCTGCTAATAATGTTAGATCAAATATACATACATATATATATGTATCTGAGCAGACTACTGAAGATCAGGTGCAGTTTTCAACCAATTACAAAAGTTTAGACTTTTGGTTAACCTATGAAATGCTGCTGAAAAGGCCCATAGACCAGGGGTTATGTGTGTGCGTGTGTGGGTGGAGGGAGGTTGAAAGAGGGCAGGTGGTTCAGTGAGAGAGCCAAAAGAAATGTTCTCCACATCTGTGAGTGCAGCCCGGCTCAAGATGAGACAGAATGCGAAAGTGGAGTGACAGATTGGAGAGGGAGAAAGAGCTGTGCCTCATGTGAAGCCTGTTTCCTGACACATGTACTTACAGCAAAAGGTGTTTTGAAGCAGCACTTGTAGCTCCCTGCTCTTGTTTCCAGCGAGGCTGAGAACAGAGCTTGACTTGGAGCATCAAGAAATAGCTGAAAGAGGATTGAACATGAAAGGACAAAGCTACTATATGTCAAAGCATTGCTCAGCCAATAACACAGCAGACACACTGAGAGAAGGTGCAACATAGCATGATGACAGACATCTGCTTCTGTGCTTGGGTTGCTACAGTGATCTACACCTGATGATGAGTAAAAATTAATCTAATTTAAAATGGAATCAAAGTAACTCTTATTTACACAGGCTAGAATACTAGGTCTCTCTCCACAGGGCAAAAATGATCCAACTTTAGCTAAAAGCCTTGGATGACCTGTATGTCTGATATTTACCACACAAATTGTCAGTAATTCCAGATTAAAAAGCCATGTGTCTCCAGCCGGAGAGGCCAGGTGCCTTGTGTTGTTTACATCTTCAGCCTGATAATAGCCAAGGACTAGAAATTGTTTCCTTTGGCCTTTTCTGATGCCTGGCCTCCCTTCCTCTTTCTGCAGAGACGATTCTGGTAATGAAAGCCTCCTACTCAGTGGCCTTCTGTAAATAAGCAAACACTCTTCCTTTCTGTCCGTGGCCTGTGGTCAACGCTGGGCCGGCCAAGTTTGATAAGAGAGAAGGCTGATGAAAAGAGAATATCAATGAGAGCTCATTCGTTGATTTGCTGATCAATAGCTGATAGTCATGTATTTCCCCGAAACCACAAGTATAGATAGAGGAAATTCCAAATATGGAGGAAAGTATGTTGTTTTTATCAGCTTCCATCCCAGTAAGGTAAACCCAAACTCTCCATGGTTCATTTAATATCTGTCACTTTGCTATTCAACCTGGTTTAATGTTGGGTAGCAGCTGCTGTCCAAAAGCCACCACAATTATTTTTAACACTGAAAGCTTTTTTGGCATTGACCTACACACAAGGATATCTGATTGTGAATCTCAACATAGATATGGACTGAAATGTGAGGCTAAAATATAAATAATTGAAAATTATACAACCAGAACTGCTGTGGTCATTTAATTCTGAAAAACAGAAAAAAAAATGTATTCCTCTCCAGACACATTTTAAACTATGTAAAAAAAATACTCTGCTGTGATTAATATTTTGTTTAACATAGTTTCCCCCACATAAAAAGTGACAAAAATGGAAACGGGGCAGGGAGCACGTCTACTCTTACTTCCTCATTGAGAAATTTGGATTAGGCCCCGCCCACCACCGCTGCTTGCGTTAGATTGACAAGTGAAACGGTGGTATCTATTAATATTGTTAGTGGAGGAAACAGGCCACAGCCACATGTTTGAGCCTAAATCTGACCCAGACTCAGGAGTTTGTTCAGGAGTGAGGATATTGTTTTGCACCAAAATTGGCGACGAGAAGACATATCAGAAAGGTAAGCTAGTTATTTGTTTGTGTTGTTTGTTAGCTTGTAACTGGGGATAGCAGACAGAGTGGCTGTGCTAATGCAAACTGTCGCTCTCTGTAATGACAAGGTTTCGCTGACCGGTGAAAGTGTATCAAGATGGTTTGAGTTAGAGGAAACATTGAAGAGACTCAGCCAAATGTTTGAGTTTCAGTCAGACTCGGATGAGGAGTCTGTTGTGCACCAAAGTCAGTGACTAGCTGACATATTAGGATGGTTAGCGCAGTTAGCATCTTTTATTTATTTATGATATTTGTTAGCTTGAAAACTGACAGTGGCTGAATCAGTGTTAGTGGGTGTGTTAAATTGCAAACTCATGCTCTCTGTACTGACAAGCTTTCCGGTTTAATTCGCCCGACCCCGTCCCCATAGGTTGATGGGATTGGTTCCTTAGGTGTGTGACATAGGAAATACCAAAATTCTTATCCTTTGTGTGGATGTTTTTATTTATTTATTTATGTAACATTTTTCTTGATTCATGAATTTTGAAAACCTAAAAAAAAATATGGCTAAAAAAGAGAAAGAACCAAACTTTATAATGCCAATATGCTTGTTTGATGAGAAACTTACCCCCCCCCCGAGACAAAACAAACCACAAGCGAAAATGTTGACACATATTCACAATGAATATTGCAGGTGTACCTACCAATCTGATTCTGCTCTTTTTGACTGCTCACCGTTTTCAGCTTTGCATTTTACTGGATATAACATGAGCTCGAAGCGCAGCAGTGCGCTTATAAATTCTCATGGCTTCCAGTCATACTGCAACTATCAAGAGCCTCTTCTGAGAAGTCACTGCCTATTTATGACTGCATCTGACTGTCAGTCTCAGCCTCCACACTTATCTGCCGCTTTCTGCAAGCTTGCTGTCTGTGGATGTAACTGACTTTAGAGACAGAAAAGAACAGAGAGAGAGAGAGACAGAAAGACAGATGGAGGGAGAGAGAGAGACAGAGAGAGAGAGAGAGAGAGAGAGAGTGAGAGAGAGACTCAGCTGCCACCGCAAACTGAAACCCTGTGGCTCTGGGATTGAGAGGAGTTCCGCAGAGTTGGGGTTTCACAAGTCGTTGTGTGATCTAAGATAAGACACGCTCAGCTGTATCCTCCCGTCACTTTAAATACACACGCACAGACACACACCACACACACACACACACACATATAAGCGTAACGGAAAATATTCCAGGATGTCGCACTGCAAGAACACAAATATCATGTACCCTCATGTCATAATGAAAGTTCATAGCATATATGTGTACTTACTTGAGTGCTACTTGTGTGTCTGTGTATGTATAGCCTGCATGTGTTGTGTGCATGCTCTGAACGCTTTTTTCAAAACCACAGAAAGATTTTTTTTTTTTTTTTTTTGAAAGAAGAAAAAATGGATGGATTTACTGTAATTCAAAAAAAGTTTGTGTTTTCTCTGTATATTGGAGAATCACAGTGTCACAGATCAGCAGAGATAGATTAGCCTTTATATGAATGCTGTTTTTTTCTTAACACTTTCTTAACACTTGCTTTCTTCCTGAGAGTTCATTAGAAGATTATACCAATCTCATGGCTGTAGATATGAAGCCACAGCCAGAACACTGTCTGACGGTAACAATCTGACTACGAGTGGCTCTATAATTCAGTAATTCATGTTACATCTCATCTGTTTAAATTAAACGAAAACTACAGTATAAAAACTAAGATAACTGGCTGCTAGCAGTAGGCTAGCTTCATATTTACACAACCATTATAGCTGTACATTTAAAGGCTAAAAGTTACTTTTAATTTTCAAACCTCGCTGTTCCTCAAAACCTTCCCTTTCCACTGTTCTGACATTTTTTGTTTTCATTTCTCTTGTTAAAGTAGATGCTTTTATCATTTTACATCGGCAAACAATCTCTTTTCTCTGATGAAAGCCCCATCTGCACAAGAGAGTAATGAAGCGAACACAGTGAAGATGCATTTTCTTCAGGTCAGGGCATAAACATCAGAGCTAGGCCTTAGAGTCTCCTCCTCTGCAAGACCCAGGGCTGTTCGCATGGTCAGCAGGGACCTTGTTGTCTTTTGTCTGTTCTTGTTTGTTCCCTGCACAGTTGAAAGAGAAGAATGGCTTTCTGTTTGAAACATTACCTGATGGATATTTATGCAGCTGTGAGGCTGTGAGGAGAACCTTTGATATCTTTTTCAGGCTTCTCACACAAACACACACACACACATACACACACACACACACACACACACACACACACAGCTCCTCTGTGAAACCAAGCCATCACTGGGCCTTTGCTGGACAAGTGAACACACACATATGCACTTATTACACTCAAAGGTGTTCAGCTGTCCATCCCCATCAGTGTGGAGCCGACTTTGGAGTTTGACCTCGTGACCCACGAGGGGTAGTGCCACAGAGGTCATGGTTAAAATAAACCCCCCCAAACTATGTAAACAGGATGTGTACATCCACCCAGACATATGGCACTCACTAATCAAAAGCCACTGAGCTGAGAGAAAAACAAGTGGAAATCAACTCCACTGAAGCTACGAGCGCACGGTGTTAGTACAAACCTGCTGTACTGTAAAATAAATGGATCAAGCTGCTTAGCAACAAAATCAGCCTCTGGAGCTCAGAGATAGTTCTTTTATCAAAGGCACTGTAATTTATTTTAAGACTGAGACAAATACTTGTGAAAGGGAATTATACATGTCAAAGTATTACGTACAGAGAGTGGAAGTCCCTCTCACCAATAATAGACCATGATGCACTGATAATGAGAGGGTTCAAACAGGTCAGTTGGTTTCTTATCAGGCATATACCTGGCATTACTGCCTCCAATCATGTTGGGTAGACTAGTACGTCTGCATGTTCCTAATATTACAATTAAGAGAACACACCTTTGACGTCTTGTGCTTCAAACCATATGTGCACCAATCTTGAAATGTGTTGTTTTCAGTCCTGGTAGCTGGCAGATATAAGTGTCTTACCATTCAGTGCAATAAATTCTTACCTTGCAATGTGGGTTAGAATAAGCTTGATAGTCTGAATTCCTGTTTTCTTTCCATTCATTCATTCAGTCTGACATTGTGTTCATGTTAGCTGATTGCTTGTTGGGAAGTGAGGGTATTTTGTTTTGTTTTGCCCTAACTAGTCAGTAGCCGGTGATGTACTGCCTCTGCTGATGTCATTGAAAATGAAAGTTGTGGTAGTTAACCTAGCATTTTTCACTACAGTCAAAAAAAATAACAGAGTTGTTATTTATGTAAGTCAATTTTGGAGTACGGTTTTAGATTTTACTCTTCATTATTAGTGCAAACAATTTTAAGCTTGAACTTCAAGGATCATTCTTGACCACAGAAACACTGTCACCTCAGGGTCCATTTAGCAGCTGTTCTAGAGCTTTTCATCATATCTCATGATATTCACCAACAGATGGAAATTGCCCAGTTTTCAAAGACTTGGAGATCTTCAAATTTACACTTTTACACACTGATAAATCACTTTAAGTTAGGTGAAATTTCAACATCTACGCATTCATGAGGACTCACATCTGCTATTGAAGATCATATGATATGATTGAAAGCTCCAGACCAGCTGGACCTTGAAGTTAGATTGCTTTGTCAATAGTCATGTTTTTTGTACTTTAGTTGGTCTTGTTAGTAATTGGTTACAATTACATCGCAGGTTACTCTCATTTTCCTAAAAATGTGGATCACTTCAACTTTTGTGATTTTGTAGTAGTGTACTCAAACCTTTTACTTCATAGTTTCCTTTTGTGGCTGTCTCTGTGTGTCAACATCCGCACGCTGTGTGTGCGAGGGTTGCTGTTACTTACAGATTTAGCACTTGGGAGGTTTCTGGCAACTGTCATATGTCAAATGCTCTTTTTGTTGGTGTCCTCCACCTGTCTGTCTTTCTTCTGAGAAAAAGATCAGGTACCTTTCAGCAGTTGCTCCAGTGACCTTTAGCAGCTGTGGGGGTGAAACTGGCTGAGCCTCCCTCACCTCATCCTAGTTCTCTTGCTCTCTCTGTATCTCTCCCTGTCTCCCTGTCTGTAATACGTAGACCGTATTACAGAGCTGCCGTATCACACATTCCCAATCTTTGTTTCTTTTCTTTAAGCCTTGCATGAGAATGATTGTAGCTTGAATGACATTGAAGCAGCACAGTAAGATGTGCCCTTGCCACATAAGTCAATAGCACATGTTCTTCCCTTCACGGCCTTTGTTGACACATTACATGAGAGCATTACACAGCATATCTCAGCACAAAAAAGCCCTGACAATACAAACATCAACCCAGACTAAGATATAATTATACACTGCAGCCTGGTATGGCAGAAAATGTCTGTAAATGCTGAACTGGCCTGAACAATCCAGCATTAATAAAGTACAATCCTGGTCTCAGTTTGGAGTCTCAAGAGCCTCACCTACAGTAGATATCCAGGCTTGTAGCCTAATTAGGCCTGTGTCGGAGTTAATTGTGAGAAGTGTACTGTTGCTGCTCGGTGCTGACCATGCTTCCTGTACAAACGATGTGATTTCTCGTGCTAAGCGCTCAATGAAAAGGGCAGGCCAGCAGTTTGAACGCCCTCCAACAGGTATTTGTGGCAGCCAGAGCTGGCAGGGCATGAGGGCAGAAGGGAGGGAGAGATACAAGGAGTGAGAGAGTGAGGCAGATAAATGTACATTTTTGCTTCTTCCTACCCTGCCGTCTACACTCGCCCCCTCGATCCCTCTTGCCCCACTTATTCAGCCACCCTTCCATCCATCCACCCTTGGCCCCCATTAGTGAATGTGGAGCCAGGAGTTATGGAATGGTTTTACAGTATGTGGAAACAGCTGAGGTCATGGATACAGACAGAGTGCATGCAGCCTCGTGCGCTGAATGTAAATGAGTTGGCCTTTCTCCAGCCGGGAGCTGAGCTGAGCTGCGCGTGATCTTGTCTGCCCCTCCCTCTGAGATGCTGGGCAGGGCAGGGATC